GCTCCTTGTTGGATTGGGGTTTTGACCCCCCCCCCCCCCTGGTGAATCATTCGATTTTTGTTCGCTTTGTCACTTTCTTCTGTCTTCAAGGCAAATGGTACAATTCGATAGCCGCAAGACTTGACTCTTATTGCACCACACTTTTTTTTTATTTTCATTCGATAAATTAAATACCAACAAGAAAGAAAATTCAAAGAAGAACAAACAAACAAAACATATGTCTTACAAGGAGCTAAATAAAGTGAAAACTTTTCCAGACACAGCAACAACAACAATCAATCGCCGATTCGGCCAAAAAGCAAGTGAAGAGTAAGTAGTACCAAGCATTTAATTCAATTGTGAAGTTGATGAAAGTGATGCTAACATTATTTACTCGTCAATATGCGTCCACTTTCACTCGTCCAATTGATGAAAAGTACACTTTGATTGTGTCATTAATTCTTCCAGATCCGGGATGTTTGGCTAAATTTCAAGGATTTGTGTTTAAAATCATTTACAATCCATTCGCCGTCCTGTTTATCATTCTTTGCATTCTACTCAATACGCTGTTCATGGCTTTAGATCATCATGAAATGAGTGAAGAATTGAGTGATGTCTTGACTGTTGGCAACTACGTAAGTTTAATTGTGACTCACATGAACAACGACAAGAACAACATTTATGCCGAAATTACAAAACTTCAACATCGCACATTTTATTCAATTGGTTCGCTCTCATGAGATGTTCCATGGCTTCAAATGGCGGATGTTTTCAAAATACCTAATGAATATGCGCTATCATCGGATGCAACAAATCCCAACAAAAAAAACCGAATCGACAAATAAACTCATTGTTTCTGTTTAAAATTTGAATTTTGATATTGTTGTCGTTCATGTGGATCATGTTTGAATAAGTTTCTCATGCGTTTTCTTCGCAACGTCTTTGAATCGTTGCCTCCTATTTGATTTGAGTGGCTATTATTTGGCATTTTGACCATTGTTTTCCGTTTTTCTTTTTTGTTCTGTTTTCATTCATATTTTTTGGCCACTTTGCTGTTACTGCGTTGATGGATGCTCCTGCATGGAAACTGTATGTGTATGCGTACAGATTTTCGTTGTGGTGTTTGTAATTGAGGCAATATTAAAGCTGACTGCACTTGGACCGGCACAGTATTTCAGAGATGAATGGAATACGTTTGACTTTATTGTGACCGTAGTCGGTGTCATTGAATTGAGCATGGAAAATGTTCAAGGTTTATCTGTGTTGCGTGCTTTTCGACTGGTAAGTGGTTGAGCATTGCTTTCGCTTTTCAATTTGCGTGTATGTTTTTTCTTCTATTCAGCATTTTTCGTTTACTTTGTCGATGTATCCGTGGATGTCTGGCGGTTGGTAATCGTCTCTTTCCGCACTTGGTCTATCTTTCTGTCTGACTGTGTTTGGCTTCAATTCAGAAAATGTACACAGTAACCAGTATACTGTTGCAAAGAACAATAGTAGCCAACGATACTTTCAGAAGTACTAATTTGCACTGAATCTAGGGGAATATCACGCTCCTGAATCTTGTGAGATATTTGAGATATTTGAAATAAACATCAATTGTATGACATATTTTCGAATATTTCGAATAAATAAATCAGATTTTTGTGGATTTTGGAGATATTTGAGATTTTTTGCATTAAATCTAAATAAATACATTTAAATATCATTCATAATCACAAAAATCCAAAATATTCCGCCGTATTCACAAATATCCACCATATTTCATACGACAGATTCTTAGAGATAAATTGGATTTTTTTGAAATATTTGAAATAATTTAAGCGTGATATTCCCCTAGCACTGAATACTGTGAAAATCATATGTTTTAGCGCTGTATTTCGTGCAAATGTACAAAGTATTTGCATCAATCAGGTGTCCCAAGCACATCAGTATGGGCTATGCGCACAATTGAAAAAAGATATCTTTTTGGAGAATATTTGCATTGGACTGATTAGTTTTGATATTTTTTGATTTTATAAGGAAAATATTTTATTCAATACAAACCAATTTATTCGTCATCAATAAAAGGCCAACCTTGGCCGATTATACAAAATGCGGTACTTAAATCCGTTGTACGCAAAAAAGACTTCAAACTGTTGCATTTTGATTTGTCTAGCCGTGATTAAAACAACAATATGATTCTCTTTTGCGTACGATGGCTTCAAGTTCCTGTTCCTACACACTTCGATAAGTTTTGCCTATTATTCTTAACAGTTCAATTTAATTTGAATTTATTTTTTCTCATTCTTGTTATTTTTATTTCTTTTTTTTTACATTTTCCCAAATACGTCCAACGATGCGACGATACTAAATTCACAAATTCACCATATTATATTTGACCGATGTGGATGTCTCGGAACACAGCTTCGTCCATTACGTCTGGGCAAAATTGTACCTGCATTTGAATTATTACTTAGGCGCGTGCGTTATCTATTTTCGGTGTTGCGCAATCAGACAATAGTTCTATGCATGTTTATTTACATATTCGTTGTTTTCGGTTGCCGTACATTTGGTAAAAGTTATGTCGGTAAGTGATTTGTGTTCGAATGAACAACGCATTTTATAACGGGAGCGACCGGCAACATAATTTATGCAACATTTTGTAAATGAATTGCATATGCTAAAGCATATTTTCCCAATGCATTGTGAAAACCTCAATGAAACGTAAAATGTAAAATGTATCATTATTAATTTGGATGTCGCCGAATATTAGTCCGAATCTCATTTCTAGCAAGCTATATTGCAAGGATTTGCAAATGTAGTGTGATCCGTGTGCTTTGGCTGGCTGTCGGTCTGTGCTGGTTTTGATTTAGACATTTTTGCACGCATTACATTCAGTTAGATAGATGTTGAATTTGATTTTATTGCATTTTTGGGGTTCACACATGCAAATGCCGCCACATCTAGATAACGTCCATCTATTTTATGATCACGAGGTGCCTCGTTGGAATTTCACCGACATTTTCCACTCGTTTATGGTGGTGTTTCGTTCACTGTGTGGTGAATGGGTTGAATCATTCTACGATTGTATGGTGGCTACGGATGCACCGAGCATTGTCTACTTTTGTGCTTTGGCCCTTATCGGAAGTTTTGCTGTAAGTTATTATTTTATGTGCATTTTTTGGTTACGTTTTTTCACTTATTTTTGCAATTCATCTATACGGCTGTTGTCCGGGATTACTTTGGAGCTGTATATTTTTCACTAGATTTTCTAGAGTAATTTCATATTCATATTCATATTCATATTCATATTTCGAACACATATTTTGCATAAATTTATTATTAAAAGTTACTTTGTGTTCGGCAAGCTAAAGTTTGAGTGAGTATGTGAGTGTGCGAACGAGTTTTTTGTTATCATTTTTGTTTGATGAGCTCAAATATTGGTGCGAACTGTAACATCGACGGAAAACTTGATTAAAATTGTGGAATAAACGGAAAGTGTATATTTTGGTTGAATATTGATGTCGATGTCGACATCGTTCAGTCCGTTTTACTGTTTACGCTCTATCAAATTCAGAAAGCACCATATACACATGTGTCGCTAAGACTAAAAATGGTAATGGAGATATGAATGCGTGAGCGCAAAAGTGCATTTTAGATTCGAAATATTTCAAAATGCAAAATCTCCATTTAAAAACATCGTGATCTTTTGCGCTCACGCATGCATATGTTCCTAGAACGTATTATGAATCACCCTTCAAAAGGAACGTAGAATAAGTTTGGGTTGCTGTAGTTTTCTTTAAAATACATTCTAGCGTAGCTGAAACTCATGTTGTGTTTTTAAAACAACTTTTAGTCTTTCAGAAACATATCTGTAATACCGTGTTTATTCTTAGCGACCCTGTATATACAAATACATTCATACCTATATGCATTTTTGCTCGATCCGTGCACGCACCGACAGTCCCATCGAATGATTCAGTCATGCATGCATAATTCAAAAGACAATTGCCTATATATTCAACTGATAATATCGCATTTTCATTGTCGATGTATACGTAGTGAAACGTAAAAGAACGTATGTTTTTTTGAAATTTTAATAATTTAAAATTTTCCATTGAAATTACTTTTTCTCTCGTGGTGGAAACCTTGGCAAAGATGTTCCATACGCAGACTAGCGGAAAGTTGTGCCGCCACGGAAGAACAAGATTTTCTATCTCTTTCAAACATTCCCTTCTCTTCTGCCCACTGTTTGTATGTAGAAAATTAAAATGTTGAATAGTGTTAGACCTTTACTCGCACCGTATTTGGTCCTGTTATCCCTCTATTTAGTATCGATTCATATACAAAATTGACCGATTCGTGCTCCCAATTTAGTAGATTTTTATGGTAGAAATCGTTGATATAATTTATATATCATATAATTAATATAGGTTTTAATCAAAATTTAAAGTTTTTTTTATTATTAAAAAAAGAATGTCGGTTTGCTGAAATAGTGTAAATAGTTAAGTTTATACCACCCCTTCATAACAGCAGTTCATGGGCATTAACACGTTTGGACGCCCAACGTAGTTGTTGTTGCACACCTGTTGTTATGAATGAAAAGAACAGAGACTGCGCATAGTATTCGGGGCACATGCACACCAATGAAAGTGCCATGCGCCAGTTTCTACCAGTCTTCCAAGTCGATAGAAGAACATTTGAATGTTCCAAGTTGACTTTAAACATGCTTCCTTCCGTGGCTTGTAAAACAAACTTATGTTCTTTTACGTCTCACCAATCAATCAGTATATAGAAAATATATATAAATATATGTGTAGGTTCTTTGCGATGAGAGTGTATGCATAATGTCTGTGTTTATTTTCCTTCGAAAAAATTTCAATCATTTATTTTCTGCTCTACAGATAATGCATTTATTCGTTGCTCTGATATTGACAAATGATGATTCGTCCGTACTTGCGAGCAACGCACCAGATTCAAATTCCCATTCAAAGCAATCAACTATCAAATCGTCGTCCAATAGAAAATTCAATTTGCACACATTCTTAAAGGAAAAATTACTTGAACCGAACATACAAAAGATTTATGGTAAGCTAAAGTCAATGGAATGTTTATTAGCGCCCTGGCTTTATATGCCTTTTTACCATTCGAACATCATTCCAATTTCATTTGCATTAAAAGAACATCAAGTCCAATCGAAGCGCATATTATAAATGTTTGAATCTCTCTGATCCACTGGCTTGTTTATTTCTCTTTCCATGCATCTCTGTCGTTCGAAATAGATGCAAATAAGCCAATTAAAAATGATATGGAGTCGTTGCCAGTTGATGCACCACCGTCCACAACAATTACACTTTCATCGAATAAACCGAACGATAAGAATCGCAGCGAGGACAGCAAAAAACCGACTGGTGAGCTTCTTTTTGTTGCTTTGAAAAAATTTAGAGTCTCTCTCTCTCTCTCTCTCTCTCTCTCTCCCTTTGTCCCTCTGTCCTCCATATCGATTTGTTGTTGAGCTTTCAAATCGCCTTTCGCATTTACACATATCTTTAAAAAATGATTCAATTCTCCTTTTTTCATGATCCCATGATGATTGGTCGATTCAAACAAATTTATCGTATTTTTTTATGCGTAATTTTCATTCTAGTGGTACAAGCTGATGTGGTGGAGAAAAATGAAACGGGAGCGAGCGTGGTTGTCGTGGCACCAGCAGCCACCAAAGATGGTGATGAGGACGATGCGACAATTAACAAGTGGTCCAAAATTCGCGTTGTAGCATTGAAATTCAATGAAAGTACTTACGTTGAATACATTGTTCTGGCCATCATATTCATTGGTTCAATAGCACTGGTAAGAGACGTATACATCAACATAAAATCGTTATTCAATCGTAATCGGAACGGAAATCCAACCACCGAAAAACAAAGGATGAAACCAACGAAATGAGAATTTAATGCATAGTCGCATCTCAACGCAGCAGAGAGATGAAGTAAAACAAAGATAAAATGGCCTTTCAAATTAGAATTCAATGGAACAGAATGAAAACTGAACAAACAACATATAGGAAGAAAGATAGGGCCCACTCAAATAAGCTATTAGACTTGGTGTGTATATGTCTTGTGATATCCGCACGAGAAAAAAAAACGCATACACCAAAAGAAAAAAAAAATAATTCGGATCAGGCAATATATATGGAAAAATAAAGCAACGTGAATATATTTCGCGTTTAAAGCCTCTGTTCATGCGATGCACATGAATGCATTGTCTCTGTCATTTGTTTGCGCCCTTTTCGAATTAGAACAAAACGAAACGGCAGAAAGAATTTTAATGAATTTTCCCTTTTGATCCAGGTACACACGGTGAACAGCTTTTCACTTACACCAGCGGGAACATCATTCGTTGTCGAATTAGCATTTTGTATTGTAATGATTATTGAATTCCTATCGAAAACCATATCCTGTGGCTGGAAATCGTATTTCAAAAACATTTGGTGTTTGATCGATTTATTCAATACCATCGTGAGTGTTTTAGTTTATAAGCGCCTTTCTTACCTTGCTTTTTTGCATGTAAGCGTCTCTCTCACTCTCCCTCTCCTTCTCCATCTACCACTATTTTCCTCTATCGTATGAATATAGTGTATCATTTGCCCGATTCCTGATTGATATTCTCGTAGGTATTTTCCAACCGATTCGAAGCAAGCAGATTTGCACATTCCCAGCTCCTAGCACCATCTATGTGGCTTTATCGCATTTACAATGTTTCGATAATCTGTCAACTGTTCGAACGTATTATGAATGTCAATAATTGAGATAACACCACATAGGTGGCGGTACAAGCTGCGAATGTGCAAATGTAGAATGGCTTGAATCGGGTGGTATTTTCATTTTCAATTCAATTCATTTGATTTTTTTCACCGTTGTTATTTTTGCTGTTATTCGTCGTTATTCATTTGATTTGATGTTTTATTCGTTTTGCAGTCTTATTAAAAACCAAAAAAAATTGTATTGGGAGCAATGTGGATAGGAGTGGAGAAAAGCCGTTCCAACAAAAAATATATCCTTAGATCGCGCTTCGTTTCATCATATCGTGTGTTGGCTTATTTTACTATTTTAATTTATCATTTTTGGCTACAAGTCAATTTTCCATTCATTTTTTTTGGCTTATTTGTTGTTCTGCCGTTACACTCACCCACTTCCCTCCACTCACTCCTGTTTTCTTTGAACCGAAAAATTTGTATTAATTGTTTGTCATTGGAATTTCACTATTTGCTACATAAATGAAAATAGGTGCCCATCGTTGCTTTGTGCACACCATCGTATGGTGCGGCAAATCAGACAATATTGATTTTGAAGGCGCTGCGCCCGTTATCCATAGTGTCACGATGTTCAGGTCTAAAGGTAATTCATTTGCAAACCATTTTAATATATTTGATTTTAGTTTTATTTTGCGATTCGTTTCTTCTATTTTCTATCGAATCGTTCGATTGCTGTTATTAATTTTTCAAGAACGATTTATTCACTGGCTCGATTACAACAACAACAACAACAACTACCCTTTTTGGGTGCCATTATCATATGTTTGTTTCGTGTCAAGTGAATTTCCATTTCATTTACTTTTCCATTCGTTTTTATTTACGATTAAATAGTGAAACGAAGACGGAGAAAATAAAATGGAAACGAGAATATGCCAAGAAAAAAACGCCATCAATCGTAAATTAAATATTCGTATTTTCGGTTTTCTTTTAATTTGTATTCCTCCGTGATACCCCTTTTAAAACTTGAAAAACAATTTTAAATTACAAATGCTCGGTTGGAATGGCGATATGTAGCAGAATTATTCGACAGGTTTTTCCTTTCATGTTGATCAAACACTGACGAATAAATAATCAAATCGATAGAAAATTTTTCATTCGAGTTCAGATTAAACGAAGTCATTTATTGAACGGCATTTAATTTTGCTTTGCATCGAAAAATTTGCCATGACATCAAATCAAAGTGTTGTGAATCTTTTTTTTTGTCATTTGTCATGTTGTTGCAGATGATTGCGATCACAATCTCGCATCAGGTCCGAATGCTTTTCAATTCTCTGCTCGTTTGCGCTGCATTTTGGTTAATTTTCGCAATAATGGGTGTTCAAATGTTTGCGGGCAAATTTTATGAAGTAAGTCACAGTCTATAAGCATAGATCTAGGCTCAAGTTGATATTTTTCACTGCAATTTTGTCAGTACAAATTGTATTATTAAGGATACCAATATAAGTGCACGGCTATCCATATTTGTTGTAAATTTTAAATTACGTTCGTTGGGTATAATAGAAATGAAGTTCTTCAATTCACCTAAAGAAATGCACACGCGTCTGTCCTCTGGCAAAGAAAACTGAATTAAGTAGAAAAAAATGTCGCTTTGCTCCAAAATTCTCCGAAGGTCTGTAAAAGGGATGCACGTGCATTTCAGTATTAAACGGTGCTTTGATTCAAAATCGGATAGTTTGTTCATTATTTTTGATGATTGCGCGCTCAATACGGTGTGTTTCTATGTAAACTGAGATACCACGAGCATTGAGTAAATAGTAGTAGAAATGAAAAAAAAAACAACGAACGCACAAAGCCCTCCACAACTAGCATCCATAGTGAGCGTAGACATAAGCTAATATTTTTCTCTCCCTCTGAATCACCAACACTTACACTTCGCATCCCGCAACGACACACAACCACAACACACCATGTATACACGTATATTTGCCGGCCAACATCCTATTAATATGTGTAATGCGCGACGCAGTGCGTTGCTAACAATCAAACAAGATTGGACATCGATTTTGTGGCCACTCGCAATGCATGCGAGACTAAACAATATGAATGGACGAATGGACCGGTGAATTTTGACAACGTCATCGAGGCTTATCTCAGTTTACTGCAAGTAGCAAGTGCAAAAGGATGGATACGTTTGATTGAAGATGCGGTCGATTCACGGGTAAGTCTTTTTTCCACTTATACACTTTTCCAGTTTACCACCACGGTTTTGTTGTGGTTACATTTTCACAGTTTGCTTTACACACTTCTGTGTGCGAAATCCAAATGGGCTTGTGGTCAGTTTGCTATGTGTTTGAAACGAATATGTTAAATTTCAGCGATTTTTCTATTTTTTCCTCTGCCGTACGCTCGGTTTTTTTTGTTCATCCTGTTTAAAGTATATTAAAGTGATTATCGTGTAAGCAAACAATAGCGAAAATCAGAAAAAAGTTTGAAACGAGTTTTTCAATCTTTACCTTTCAAAAAAAAAAGAGAGAGAGAACGATTTAAATTGCCTTGAGGGAGATTGCAGTTCACGTATTTTTTCCTTCGTTTCCCGAATATATATATTTTTTTCATATTTTTCGCAACCTTTTCTTTTTTAGATATTTTTGCAGCGAAATTCGTCGGAAATTTTCTTATCTATTTTTTGTGGTCGTTGTTTGCTTTCAGTTACTTCATTCTCTCCTTTTGTATAGTCGTTGTTGACTCAAGTTTTTTTTTAATGCTCAAGAAACGATGCAAACGAGAAACTAACTTTCCATTGCATCAAACACAAAATCTTACATTTATTAAAGCGACTTTTCTTTAAAGCCATTTCATCTCAATTGGCTTGGCTCAGTGCAACAAAGCCATCTTTTGTGTGTGCGGCGGGCATGCATGAGAGAATTTCCTGCAAAATGGTTAATTAAATTTTGTAACTTTATGAAAAGCAAACTATTGTGAGTAGAGTTTCATTTTTGTATGTTTCAAATTGAGATCCGTCGTGTTCATTACTCTCAACACAGTCGACGCACAAACGACTTAGATTTGTCGGAGTATGACACAAAAGAGTGGAAATATGAGGAAAAAACATCTCGCAAATTACGCAAATTCACGGGATAAAAATAATGAACTGCCTCTTTACATAATGGATAAAATTGAAATGGGGATATTTGATTATTTCATTTCGTTTGGGAAATTCCATTTTAGTTTCTCGAAAAGTTGGGAATCTTTTTTTTTTTCAACACAATTTTCATTTCATCCATTAGAACAGTTCATTTCATGGAGAAAATTCGTCTTCTTTTTTATATTCATAAAGTCGAAATATACATTTCTTTCAAAGTATTTGTCATGTGTACGATAATTTTCATTGAATAAAGGTTGAATGATATTTGATAAAAATTTGCGTTACAAAGAATAGAAAATGTCTTTATCGTAAGGTGAAAGAAAAACTTCTCACATTGTACATGAAGCTGTTTTGGTATTGTGAAAATATTTCTGGAATAATAAGCGAAACCGTTTGCGTAGCGCCACCTATATTTGGGTAGTAGTAAATAATAAAGCGTATGTGGTAATACCAAATAGTGAAGAATAAAGTCAATTGAAACAGTACAAATGTTTAGAACACCGCAATATTTTACTTATATTTATTTTTGTTTTGTTTCTTTAGGATGTATATACGCAGCCGTTGAAAGACTCCAACATTTACATGTTCAATTATTTTGTCATTTTTATTGTGCTGGGCGTCTTTGTTTGTGCCAATTTGATCATTGGAATTTTAGTTCGGCAAATTTTGCAAAGAGGAAATCTGAGCGATTTATTTAGCTCATCGAATAAAACAACAAACGCTGGAGTGAGTCATTCAAATGCATCAAACAATGCTGAGCCGGCCGGAAATGTAATTTTTTTCATTTTCATTCGTTTGACCGATTGTTCTAAAAAATATTGTTGGTAAATTTCAGACTTCATCAAAATTAGCGATGCTTGCGCGAAACCCGTATTTCGACTGGGTCGCATTTACAATTTGTGTTTTTTACATGTTGGCTCTCGCACTTGATCAGTATGCGTTGGATGAAGTGTACGCCAATATACTGCAATACATTTACTTGGTTTGCGCAATTCTATTTATCATCGAAACAGCACTTCGACTACATTCGCTGCGGCGCATATTTTTGATGAGTTTCTGGAACTTCTTCGATGCAGTGACAGTAACCCTTGTATTGATTGGTGGGTTGAGCGGGAGAGAGAGAGAGAGAGAGAGAGAACGCAAAAAAACCGTGCAACCATAAAACTTTGTGTCTAATTCGAATCTATTTCATACAATTTCAGAGCTCTTTACGTTAGAATTCGTTTGCAGTAACGTAATTGTATCAATCGTTCTGTTGCGTGTGATTCGTGTCTTACGGTTTAACTCATTACTTGTATCCTGTTCACCACAGCTAAAACTTGGTGTTGCCGCATTGAATCGATCGAAAACTGCTGCCTACAACTTGTGCCTATTTTTATTTTTGGTAATTTTTGTGTACGCATTAATCGGAGCTAGTGCATTCAATCGTGTGTCAAATCTTACGCCAATCAATGAAAAAATCTCATTTCACACCGTTGGACAAGCCATTATTCTATTGATTCAAATAAGTACATCAGCTGGGTGGGATAGAGTCTACGATGTTCTAGTAGCAAAAAATCATTACAATGCATTTGTCATTTTTCTTTATTTATGGTCATTCTTGTACATATGCATTATGATCATCGTTAATTTGGTGCTCACTATCATTCTAAACTATTACACAATTGCCTATGAAGTCGAGTCAGCATCAAAAAAACTACGAACAGACGACATAAATGACTTCAATGAAAAATGGTCTGCAATTGCAACCGTTGAAGAACCACTTTTCATTCATAAAACGCAGCTACCAATTCTCTTAAATCGATTAGATAAGTCGTCATCACTTCGGACAAGTGTTATGCCAACCGATGAAAATCTTCAACTTTTGGGAATCCCGATTCGAAACGAACAACAACATTACCGTGGCGAAGTTTTGATCGCATTGAACCAAGCCCTAAGACGAATGCAGTCAATATCAGATAAAACACACTGCAACAAGTGAAAGTAGATTGAAACTGCCACTTGCCACTTATCAACAAGTCATTCACGCACGCACGCACGCACGCACGAATTTCAATCTAAGCTATAAATTACTTCACTCTACTAATCAGTGCATAGCATTTGGTACCACTTACCAATAGATATACTACTAAATTTGTCTATGGTCATCTCTTTAAATTTCAAGATATCTCAATGCAATTAAATTGAATACATATTTAATTTATTAAATGTTTATAGCATACTCATTTAATATTTATTTATATTTTTTTCAAATAAAGACAGAACTATTAACACAACCAAAATAATTGCATTTTCCACAGATTACATAATTTAATTGACCGTTTGGATTGCGTTTTATTTTCTGTTTCTGAAGATACATTTTAACATTTTTTGATCAGCGAATATACAGTGTACACAGGTGAAATGTATCATATCAAAATGTCTACTAAAATAACTTATTTAAATTAAAAGAAAAATACTCAGTTAAAGAATATGAACAACAAAAAGTGATTAAAAAGAAGGAGCAAAACTATCGATGGTTTATAGCCAAATCAAAAAACTTCCAAGAAGCAACCCTAGACTTATAAGCACCGGTGATGATAGTCCCAAACCGAACGCTGATTCAATACCGGTAAACAGCTTGTATGAATACCAAATCATTGCAGCCATTCCAATGAAATTTAATGTTTGGAATCTAGAAGAAAAATGTTTTGTTTTATTATTTTTTTAATTGTCTGCGTCGGAAACCGTTCTTCCTTTTTAATATACATACAATGCATAAACGATGACGTGTTTTAGTGATGTATTGCCTCTTTCTCTGAAATAATACCGACGCACACCCAAAAAGTTTCGCTCAAGCAGTTCACTCCAGTCGAGATCGCTAGCATCGAATTTGTATCGATCGACGTCATTTGGGTGCATCAATGGTGCGATTCGCATTGCGTTTTTCGTGGAATATTGGAAATTCTTGTTCAAGAAGAAGTGGAACGCCTTGGTGCCTTTGTTGAACATACGCATGAATTCGAGGCTCCTATGGAATAAACATTGAAAGTTCGGTTGTTCGTTAGAATCAAAAGTGGTGCTTACAAGCAAACAGAGTGTTTGTGATTTTCATTCTTTTCTTAAATAATTATCCTAACGTACGTGTGATGTCGAATTCCAAGACCAAGTAATTTTTCGGGCCAATACCAAATCATTGTGGGGAATATGTGAAACAGATAGAAGAAGACGGTGTGTCTAAGGCCATTTCGGATTTTGGCATGGGGCACCCAAACCATTTTCAGACTTGGGTTGACGCGGACTCGTTCGTTCAATATGTCAGTGAATTCTTCTAGAGATAATGGATTCACATCACCAGAAGTGGAATGGATGACTTCTGGCAATTCCAATTTTCGGGTTCCAACATACCATCCCAGCACGATTGAAGCATTAATCGTATAGTCGACTGGTATAAGATCAATCTTTGACTGCGAATTTCCATAAATTGTACGGAATAAACCTGGAAAAAATCGAAACGAAAAATGAAATTTGACTCATCAAGAAGTTTAAGCAATATGTAATGCGATTGCGTGAGATGAACACACTACCTTTGTAGTAGCCAGCAAAGAAACCGAGATGACCGCTACTCGCGTTGCCGACCCAACCTTGCACGGGATGCTCATACGTGCCGTAAACTATTTGAAAAAAAAACAAAAACAAAAACAAAATACAATCAAACAAAAACTAAAAGTTAATTCAATCTAGCATAACGAATGCATCTGACGCAAATTATTCACACACCAATCGAAGGTCGCACAATTGCTGCTGGAAAACCGGCAAGCTCTTTCATTACTAAATTTTCGGCCAATTGTTTTGTAAATGTGTAAGTGTTTGGATGCTCTTTCGTTATATGTAGCCAGTCAGCGCGTGTTTTGATATTGGCCCAAGCATCGTCATTTTCAGCCATCTTTAGCATTTCATATGGATCCTGAGCCGGTGCGTATACTTTTTCCTCCAACAAACCAGCATAATTACTGTTGCAAAAAGCCGTCGATAAATGCACAAACGCATCCATCTTTTTTAAACTTTTGCCAAATTCAATGCACCGCAGTGTGCCCGTCAAATTCGTTTGGATTGCAACACGTAAATGTGTATTGAATTTAATTGTGGCAGCCACATGGAAAATTATGTTAACTTTTTCACGTAGCTCATTCAATGTTTCGTCATCGAAACCCATATTCACAGCATCCATCACACCAACAACGGGTACCACCTTTTTCAATGTTTCCGCCGAATGTGAATTGAAAATCTGCAAACAAATACGAGTATCCGTTAAAAAAAGTATTCATTTATGTCAAACCACATCGGCGTAGATGTATATAACTAAGGGAGAAATCAATTATTTGTACCAATTTTTCATTACTCCACATATTTGACGGTGATATTCACTGAGAAATGAACAATGTACATTCTTGATTAAATTTTTTTCAAATGAAAATCATCATTGTTCGTTCCAAATTTGTGTGAACACTCAAATATTGAAGGAATTATTTGGTGTTAAGGTGACTTTGTGGAAAAATGCATGCGGATACAACTGGTTAAAAGTTTGCTGTACATTTGGCTTAAAGTAACGTAACGAAGACATTGAATTTATTTTGATCTGCCGTTTTACACTTGTATCATTTCTAATTATGAGCAATTTTTGGTTGCTCAATCGCACCGAGCAGGAATTTTCAGTTCAGTTTTAATGGTCGTGGGACTGCACTACATCTTTACTATTAAAGTCTATCTGCAGCATAATGACGTTCAAATCGTAAAATGGCTGTTGAAGGCGAATACAATGGGGAGCCTGCGTACGAAGTACGAAATGTCGTGTTCAATTAAGTAGAAAGCGCTACTGGTCAGTGCGAGTAACGAACGTATTCTTGAACAGTTTCGGAATTGTGAAATTGACAAGCTGTTTAAAACACTTTGTGTTCAACCGCATACTGGATCACGATGATGATTGGCGTGTTCTTCGATGATAATCGCCCCAAAAAAACTTGCTGAACTGGACAGATTATCAACAATTTTTTTTGCGGTGTTACATGGTTACACGGTTACACGTGAACTGATGTGACAATAGGCGAACATAGGCGAGATCAAATTTTTCCTTATGATTGAGAAAACCGCGCGTTGAATTGGAATTGAGTTCATTCCACCAAGTTCAACATAAATTTTCACATTTCTTCCAGTTGTTCTGTATGAAAAAAAAAGATATCCACTATAGTGTTGTCCACGAGACTTATGTATTACGCGGTGGGCATTAATAAAAGCAAAATTGGCTGTCACAGTAGTTGTTTGGCGCGGAAACTTTTGCTATAGGTGGCGCGTCGAAAAATTTTCCAGCGTCTCAATGCATACATTGAATACGATGCTAATTCCCACCGGTATTACGGAAATCCACTAAACCACATGTGGTCACCATTGAAACATACACAAATAAGATCACACCTCATTCAACCCTATCCGCACAAAAGTGATGAAAAAATTGGAACTACAAAATCTGCTTTTTGATTTTTGGTCCATAATGAGATGTAACAAGAAACATTTTGATAGTTTTTAATGGATATAGTCAATAGAGAAAAGTAGAAGTAAATCTGACAAAATTTTGAAAAATGCTCTTTACACAATTTTTCTACTGAATATAATGATTGAATACTGTTACAATTTTGCGTTAAAAAAACAACAAGATATTTTACCGGTTTCGACAGCAATCGTTCAACCCGCTTATTGGTGTCTGATCCATATTTTTCGCGGATGAGCAAATAAATTGTGCCGATTTTTGGCGTAGAGCTGAGCAATGCTTCAATCAAAACGGTGCCAAGGAACCCAGTACCGCCCGTAATGAAAATGTTCTTTCCAGCATAAAATTCCGCAATGGACGGCTCACTGAACTCACTATTCAATATTTCATTATTATTTACCGACATTTTCTTATTCAAAGTAATTTCTCTCTCTACAACTTCGAATTAAAAAAAACACTGATCGCTTATAAATTGTCCGGCTGGAATCGACTTGAATATTCACTGGTCATCAACGAACTGAAAAAGAAATCAAATTTTTTCGATCAATATGTGTTGAATTCCGGTTGATTTTTGACACATATTTTTTCCATGAATTGCACAAATAAACTCAATAAACAATAAAAACCCAAAACATCTTTGTTTTTGCATGATCATTGTGACTCGATTTGTTTTTTTTCGATCATTTAGGTCTTCCGCGTGTTTTTATTTCGTGAAACATAAACTTTATTCAAGGAAAAAATGTTGAAAAACCAACATGACTTAGCACGTTGGGTATTTCGAAAACGACACAGTAACAAAGAGAAAAAAACAAAACAAATGCAAAAGACGAAATATGATGCATTTAAGGTTTATGGGCATTATATATCCGCATTCGATGTGTGTGATGTGATGTGTTATGCAATTTCTTACTGTAAAATGCTTTTAGCTAACTAGTGGACATTCAGTGGAACTTCAAATCACAATAAAGAATGGGTAAGTCCACGTGATATTGAAGCTCATTTCTACTGGTTGTTGACTCAAACATTATGAGATGTTGACTGCAAAACTACTTACTTCTATATATATTTAAATTTTACAACAGGTTCTGAATATTTTAACATAAGTGCCAATAATGAAGAAATTCGCCATCACCTTTTTACCGGTTTTATTGAAAGAAAAAATCTTACGATCGAAACTGGTTTTGTGTTGAAACATATCAAAGTTTTCACTAAAATCGAAAATAGAATCTACAGAAAACTAGAAAATCAAATCATTTAACTATTCAGTCAAATTAATATTACGAAAGACAACTAGTTCTTGTGGAGAACGTTGACAGAGAAAAAGAAAAAAAATGAACGGAGTGAATGGCGCGTTCAATTGAAACTTGAAAATGCCAAGAGGTGAATGAAACATGAAACTGAAAAGCAACCGAAACCGATTACGGGGACAAATAAAAAAAAACAGAAATCACGGTCAATGGTAACTATATGCACCTATTTTATGTGACATGACTGAATTCATGGCTTAGAGACAATTACTTTATAATCACTGGATGTAATTTTATCGACGTTTGTCAAAGACAAATCATCGACCAAGCAAAATTACCATTCTATCACATTAATCAGCGACTGCTCAAACACTTTTTTGGGTTTCGCTTTTTTTAATTTGTCGCATACATCCGTATCTTGCCCATGTGCTTTGGATTTTCGTATAAATTAGATATTTCAGGGTTATTCGACATCAGCAAAGGGTGGATTCAAAATGTATTGTGAATTGCCATGTAATCGACAAGATAGAAGGTCTCTCAATGATGTGCGTCTATGTAGCTTTCACTTTTTCAATTCAATTTTACGTGAAGATTCACAACATTCCACGAGGAATAGTTTGGCAAATGGAATCTTAATGGAGGAAAATCTAATGAAGTCAATTTGAACTGATAGTAAGAAGAAAACGAAATTTCCTTTACTCAAGTTTGCTCAAGAAACCATAAAATGATATTATGTGCAAATTCCGATGTGTTGAAGTCAAGGTAATCATAAAATATTTGGACGATGGTTAAAAAAAACTTGCATTATGGAATGCAATTTTGATTCAAGCGAGTACCTTGACATTCGCTATTAAGCGAAACCGAGATTTCTTTAGGGACTGTTGGATCATCCAACTTGGATATTCCGGCGATGGCGCGCACAAATAAACTCTTCCAATGGTCTATCTTCATTATGTTTTTTTTTAAATTCAATTCATTAATAATAATATTTCGATTTAAAATTTAAAAAAAACGATCGCTCGGCTTCTCAATGATAAAAATAGAAGAAAAACGTTTTGACCATTGCCAGTCATTGTGACACATTTTAAATTCGCTGAATATGCTTTGGGTGCTTGAATTAATTTTTAAAACTTATCTCTTCAATGAAATCAAAGCAACGTGTTGGTAAAATCTCATAACATTTCCAAAATCCAGCGAAAGCCCATTGCATACACACGTACGTTCAGCCGAATAACTGTTTCTGTCTAAACTATTGCGATGCGATGCTCACAATTCTTCATAAATTAACGTAATGACCTTGCATGTTATTGGAACAACCAAGTTGATGGTAATTTTAATCGAATGTTGTTGCGTTTGACCGTTGCACATGAATCGCTTACACGTAAGTCGTATTCTTTCGTATGCGTAACACATTTTTTTTCGAAAGTTGGAGACCTTCAACTAATCTTATTTCACGTTTCTTAATTTTTTTTCTTTCATTTTCGAAGAGCCTATAAGATGAAAACGCACCGTTTATATTAGAAATTATTACTGATTACCCGAAATATATTTTAACAGCAATAATAATCTTCTGTGTGGATTTTATTTACTACTTTCAATATATAAACCGAGAGTATTTAAACGTGATTCATCTGTTTTTCCAGTTTCGTCAGTTTAAACAAACATTTGATCAAGTTACGAAAACAAATTGCAATCAATTCATATACTCTATCAATGTGTATGTAACGTTAATATTTGTTTGATGTATGCAAATAATTTCTATCAGTTTTTCTACTGCACGAAATTTGTTCATCAAAGGGAGAATTTTTCATTTTTTACGCCGCAAAATATTAACATGTTCATAGTTTGGTTATTCAATTTTCTTAAAATTCCAGACTCTGAAAAAATCAATGAACTTTATATATGCGATAACAACGTAGATCAACATCTCGTTGATCTCGGAAGTACTAAGCGATTAAAATTGATTGTGGCAATTTGTGTTAAGGTTAAGATACAATCATGCGGTATTGTGAGCGTATCGGCAACCGGAATAGCAGACATGTTATTGTTGACTCCACGAACGTGTGTAAGTTTGCATAAATTTTCATCCATCACACAAATATTTGATTCATTCTCAAATTAGATGTATCAATAGTGGTGTTATCAAGTCTTAGAAATAACAATAAAAAGTTTTCGGTTCGTTTAGTTTTTTGATGGGCATAGAAAACTACATTGACTAAATCTCAATGTCTCGTTTGGTCGAATCGGTCAAAAGACATTGGATGGAATGTGATCTGTTGTTCGGAGTACCATTTAAATACCGATTTTTTTTTTGTAATCAACGAGTCTTCAATCAACTTTATGGCTTTGCTTCATTGGAGAAATTCGCCGAGCATAATGATTGTGTTGCATATAAAATTATTTATAAGCAAAAAAGAAGGCTAATTTACTAATGAATTTGCTTTCAATTGTAAATCAACTGCACCTTATTTTACGACACATTGCTACTTGATGCAACTCTCTCTCTCTCTCTCTCTCTCTCTCTCTCTCTCTCTCTCTCTCTCTTTCCCTGCTGACAACCGACTTATACAATTATCCTGTGCAAAATATCAATGCAATTATGGCATGTTTTTATTATTCCATTGATAATGATTAAAAAGTCATTGTTCAGTGAAGAGATCAAAATGTGATATTTAAGGTAAATTCCACGAAGTATTAATCTATACAGTTACGAACATTTTCATAAACAATCGGATGTGGCCAAAGGTGAAAACATTAATTAATTGAAATGTTGCCGTAGCAAAAACCAATCACAAGCACTGCACGTGCGCATATTTCTTCCTTCATGCAATAATAATAATGCGCACAATAATAGGCAAAGTCGGGCTTTGACTGAGATGCAATAACATAAAGATGTGTGTATGAAATCGACTTCGTATGCTCTAATCAAAATGACGACAACACTAACAATAAATCGGGCCACATCTTGCGTTCAATGTATGAGACTTAGTAAGAGTTGATATTATTTATAGATTTGGCCGTATAAATAACCGGTCATTTGATTGTTTACTGCAACTCTGGACGTCAAAACGTAATTTGAAATACGTATTGAAACTAAATGATCAACAAATATCGTTCTGTCAATATTTCTGGGCAATAGGCTACACAGTTGCTATGTTTTTTTGAACATTCAACCTATATTATTCAAACGAATGTTGGTAAAGTCTAATAAAACAACTGTGGAACATGTAGTTGGTATTGATTGTTTTTCTGTCGTTCCCACACTCAATATGTTAAATCAAATCAGAAGACTCTTTGATATTCCTTGAAGTATTGTGACGCGCATTTAACGATTGATTGTCTTTCACTAAGAAGTGTTCGATTGGCCAAATCAATTAGATCGTCTAACTGTGCGTCCACCAAACGTTCATCCTTTAACTCATGGTTAAGACTGTCATAAGCTCTTTGATTGACTCTATCATGGCTGTTTGATGAATTAGCATTTTTTTGCGCTTGGTAACTTTTTATTTTCAATAAAATGTCAGTATTGTTAAATTATTTAATGAGACGCACAAAACAAACAGAGAAACATCTAGACTGCAAGCTTCTTTTTTTTTCTCTGGTGCGCTCATACACAAACACAAGCATTACAAGCCACATTCATTGGAGATGTCAACTGCGTGCGTCTTTATTTTTCTCTTCACGAGATTATCGTGTATGCATATTGTTTTGAATCACCAAGGTCATGCGAACATAAAACAAAATGTAGAGAGAGAAGGAAAAATTGTACAGCGTCTGTTATAACAGAGAGTACGTAAAAGTCCAAGCACATGTACACGTACACGTAAATGTACAGGTACACACATAGCAGAAAATGAAATAGTGAACAGTTTCATTTTGTGTATTCTACCGAAAAATGTGCGAGCTTATTGAAAGTGACTGTAGAAACGGCTTACACGCAGAGAGAGAGAGAGAGAGAGAGAGAGAGAGAGAGATGGATGAACAAATTGGGCTCAATGGTATTTTTTGTTTATTTATTTGTTTGCTTTCTGAAAATTAGTTTTTGTTGAGCAGTCACACTTCCGGTTAAAAAATTAGATTGTACCTTAAGCATGATATGATATCCAAGAAATTTTGTTGCATTTTGATTATGTATAACGCAAAGATTTTATAAATAATTTGAAAAATTGGAACTGGTTGCCTTTACATTATATAAAATATTACTTGAAACAAAACCAAAATCAAAATGAAATGGAAGAGAAGAACCAGCCACTGAATCGATAATTACTGATAATACGTATATATCGTACGTAGCAATCACAACTGAGAGTAAGAGCAGCATTCAAGGTATAATATTCTGTTGTAGAAAATATGCTGTATCGTAATGTATAATAATAAGTACAGTGCTATGCAAAATATTGTTATCGAAAACCAACTGATACCGTCGAAATGCGTCAGAACTCGTCTCTGCTTTATATTATCTCAATTTAAACTGAACGTTTCCAAAATTAAGAGGAATATTTTTCTAGACGCAGTTGCCTAAATTTTGTTTGTCAAATTTCAATGGCCACAACAATACGAAAATTCCGAAAACGATTCAATGGAATGGTGATTTTATCATTTGTTAGCCTTATATCTCTGTGCCAACAGTGTACACGATTTATTTACTTTTCCCATTTCATGCAAACCACGAATGCTTTAATTTCTGCCGCAAAATTGCGTCAGTTATTTACTCTTTGACTTGAATTTTGTTTATATTCGAAGCAAAATGATGTTTATCGAGCTTATTTGAAATTAGGTGTTACTGTTTACTTGTTACTCCAATCGACTTACATTATTTGCCTTTTGTTGTCAAAATATTTTAAATGAACCTTCGACGCAACTTCATCCAAAGTTCCAAATTGATCGGTTGGTTGCCTTTCGAGTTGAATTTAAATAGCTACCAACTCTATGTATCAATCGTTTGATTTTTTGTATTTTTTTCTTCTTTAATTTGTTGTTTTATGCAAACGAAAAACAATTTTCAATCAAATCACACTGAACTAAAGGACACCTAAAAATACGTATTGATCACTTTATTACTTTCAAATTGAGCCGTGGCGACTACGTCGCGTGTTCTTCGGTAACTGACTGTTGACTAATTCCCAGCTTCAAGTTCAACATGTTGCTCGTTCGCTACACGGTCTCGGTTTTTGATGAACAAGAGAAAACACGAAAAAAAAACCTTTTTCTCCCTCCAAATTTTTCGCATGCTCGTTGATCGTAAGATCACTGTGTTACTTGCCATTCATGAGATAGAGAGAGATTTGGGTCTACAACACAAAATACGATACATGTCCCGGTTTTATTACAGCGATTTCGATTAAAAGATTTAAAGAGCAGCGCAGGTGACGCGTGATAAACGTAAAGAGAGAAGAAGCGAACTAAAACTGAAACCGCAACATGTCTACATTCTTCCCAGCAACACGCATACATACTATGCTTACCAATGCAATCATGTTTTCAGAAGAATTTTCAATAATTGTATTGTCGTATCTAAATATAAATTGTTGCAGAGTTTAACTGCTTGTGATCCCCATACACGTGCAATTCTACTGTGTGAGTGAGTGATGGAGTAGAAGGGCCTATGAAAATACTATGAATTATTGTGATTTAATTTGATGGAAAAAAAATACAAGCGAAGTGCTCATTTGACTTGAAGCACAATTCATTTGCCTGAGTCAAAGTAGTGAAAATGCTATGATGATGTGCCATTGCAACTGATGATCACTGGACAATGTGCAACGCAAATGAACTAGGGGCTTGGATCTATATAAAACTATATTTTATATACACTTTCTGTGCACTATCTGCACTTGGTATGACGCACATATTGAAAATATCCGTGTAATCTGCGATTTGTTTTGGAGTATCTACTGAAGACAGTGATATAAAGTGATCAAATGTGGCACTGCAGTTCAACGGTAGAATATTGATTGAAATCAATTGAAAATTTTAAAAATTTCAAAAATTAAATGGTTCGTCGTGAAATTGAAATTCCCCTACATATTATGTATATCACGGTGTATATATAATATATAGGATATCGCAGGCCAAAATATTATGCTCTGTCAATTCAAGTTCTAGGGGCTAATGAAACAATAAAATTTTCAAATACGGTCAAATTTTAAAATATTCAATATTTTCGTTAATCGACGCCGACCTGAAATTTTATGCTTATTATGCCATTCAAGCAAAGTCATGTCATCGTCCAGTTCAACATAACAATATTCAAGCAGAAAGCAATTTAATTTTCGTTTTCACCTAAACATAGCAAATATTATGCAACTCCATTTTCACAGTTCAAATTTACTGATACGTCACACCTATTGTTGACTGTGACAAATAAATTTCAAATAAAATCATCATCGAGATATTTTTTTTGAGGTTGTCCTCTCATTATTGTCCATGACTGCATGTGCTAAGATTAAATTTACTTGATGTAAGAATTTGTAAGAAGATGGGTACGTCTATTTTCGTTTGAAAACTGTGAATGTTAGACCATTGAGAATGAAATTGCTAAAAGTGACCAATTGAATTATATTTCCGAATCTTAAATAGATGAATCAACTTAGATGTGAATAATTTAATATAATTTTGGTAAATACAGTGAATTCTGGCGAATAAAATTGTCATAATTAAGCTGTGAACGTTACATAATTGCGTTTGTTAGAAGCAAAAATATATGAAATATTGTGTTACGAATACAAGATCGGTAATTGAGTGCGTTTATGGGATAATGGCTGCGAAACGAGGAAAAAAGTGCGATTTAAAGCAGTTGGTGGCCGATCACCATAACGGTAATTAGATTATTTATGAAATTCGATCTTGTTTCATATAACTAACTTCACTTCATTTCTCGTATCCTATATATGCATATAATTTAGCTCTGCTCAGACTTATTGGTTGGCAAGGATGCAAAAAACAAAGTGAAGCTACCAATGAAAATGGTCAACCCTCAATTCAGACCTTACCTTTAAGCATTGAGACGAACAATTAGCTATGTTTTACTCTTGAGCCGGCGAAAGCAACCAATGACTACTCAGGAAAGGGTATCAGCAAACTGCTACCCTCGTTCATGTGATGAGCGCGTTTAATTAGAGTAGTTGTGTTTGCGCATTCAAATTTACAAATGTACACACACGCAAACACCGAATGCGTTCATTTTCATTTTGGTGTATCCAACACATGCAAACATCACGGAAACAATCTTTGTAGCATTCATTCATCCAGTTAGCTGAAAGTGTGAAGCCAAGCGATAATGATTCAGGGATGGTGTTTGGTCCATTCATTCACAGTAGCATATGCGCGCGCGATAAAAGTATTGTTTCTTCTTTTTGTTAGACATACATATCCACAATCCACATACACCAGTACAATCACACAAACACACATACATCAGCATTGTTTCGACGGTTGCTTAACATTAGTACGGTCGCTCACTCTCGACTCATTTAATTTACCATCTCTTACTACTCTTATGCTCAGCATATATTACTGACTCCGTTGCCGCGTTTCTTTTCATTCGGTATCATGTTGTTGGTACTTTGTTTTTTTTTTGTATGCGCACGTTCGCCTCGCGTACATATGACTGTGCAGAACTTGAATGAGCTAATGGAAGTAGTTCGTCTATTGTAGGGTTACCGTATACACGAACGAGAAATCAAGAGCGAGATGTACGAAACAAGAGACAGAGTGCGAGAGAGCATGTTCATGTGCGATAACTTGGAAAAAAAGGGATAAAATTCTCATTTAGGCGATTTTGTTACATGTGATGGGCGAAGGGTGTGCATGCTTCTCTCGAAAAAGTGTACATTTCATCCAATCGCAATGGTTCTCGCCGCCTACTCTGCGACAGCAATTAATTAATAAGTGTTTAGGGTTGCTTTTTGTTTCGTTAGAAATCAAATCTGCTTGTGGCTCGCGTGCGTTTTATGTGTAATCTCTGGCCAATCGAATTTCAACGCTCAAATTTACTGATACTTTTGGATTAAGGCACCATGCATGTGGTGAACCAGTTTGGAAAATATCGCTATGAAAGCGATGAATGATGATTGAACATTGAAAAAGGCCGCATATCAATCAACAAATTAGCATGAATTTTAAATTTTTTATTTTATTCATTCAACCAGTGGAAAAACTGAGTGAACAACTCAAACACGGCCTTTATTTGTCAAGTTCAATCCGGAGTTCAAATCACGTATGAATTTTATTTGAAGAAAATTTATACACTCGATGAAGAATCAAATATTTGAATCAAAATTCATTATCAGACGATAAGAGGTTGAATGCCACCGTTTCGTTGACCAACATCACCATTATATAGCTTTATATTTGAATGAACTTGAATGTGGTCGTGTGTATTAAATGTGCTCTGAAAACAAAGGCGTGTAAACCTGTAATTCTCTTCACTATTTTCGTTTTTAGACATGGATTAATTAGAACCTGTGGCTAAATTATTGGCATTTGAATGGTTTACGATGGAAAAACGACATCTGTGTTTGAATGCCTTAAATATGATGTCTATTGAAAAATGATGAGTTTTATTTGGCAATATTAAGTTTGCTTTTTCTTTGGTTGTGCAATTAGAAAAAATAGACATTTTTCATTTGTATTAATTATAAATACTCAATCCAAAATAGTTAACTTTCCTGTTCCGCAATATTTCATCCGATTAAATCATTGTATTCGAGGGAGAATTAAAAAAAGTTTAGCGCAAATTGTTTTATTACCTAAGATAAAGCATAACAAATGTGCAAGAAAACAAAACAAATGTATGATTGGATATTAAAAAGACCTGCAGTGCCAGTGTGTTTTGTGTATATTATGTAAACCTTTTGAACTTCGAAAGTTGGATTGCTATACTATCGTTTCAAGCATAATCGCTTGATGGCGTTAGTGCAGTGCAGCTTATGGTACGAAAAAGTCTAATAAATTTTTCGAAAAGTTGAGAAAAAAAAGATTTTCCAGGAGCTTTCAATGTGCTCAATGACATCTGTGATACTGTGATACTGTGAACCAGTCTGAATGTGTATTTGTGATAGAGATGTCTGTCAGTGACGAACACAAGCTAAATAATAAATACGCAGTGCTTATAGGAACCAAAACACAACAAAAATACGATAAACATACAGTGGCTAGCTTTCATATTCACAGCTTCAAATTTTGATTTGTCTATCACATGTGTGATGGTGTTTATTTTGTGCAACTTAAGCCAGTTGGTCTATTTTATTCGAATCACATATCACATTATTGTTGCTTTTTGTATTTGTGTTTGAATCTGAAAATCACAGTACACTACGAACGAGCAAAAAAAAGAAGAAGAATCATATAATCAGCGTTACGTCGCAAATCACAGTGTCTACTTTTGCAGTGACAATCGTGCGGGAATAATCGTTGTGATTAGCAATCACTGATTACATTTACCAATTGCAGTTATATATGGAATATAATTTATTTTCTTTCTCTTAAAAATAGAAAGTAAACGAATTAAAGTCAATCCGATATCGATAGAAGGGCATTGATTATATTCAATCAGTAAAAAATCAAGTGCGAAGTGTGAAAAAAGAACGTCCATATACAGATACACACATATATATATATATAATAAGTTGACGTCCAAAATTCAAAATCTAAAACGCAATAATGAAATACTGAATACACGATACCATTGACTGAACCAAACACTAAGGTGTATACATATTGGAAGAAGTTTTGCCGAGAGTGAAAGGGAATAAGGAAAACAAAGAATACTAGAAATTCAAGGTGAAAATCGTGTGCCTCTGTGACAGAGAGACTCTTTCGAGTTATTTCGGGTGAACCGGATTTTGAATAAACATTTTAGAACTCTCTGCAGTCTGAAAATCGATTCGATTCGATTCGATTCGATTCGCCTAGCTTGTTTATCTTGATAAAAAAATATACAAGACATTGTTTCAAAAGTTGTTTTCAGTAATAATTGGTGTTGTGAATGTGTAGGTGTGCGTGTGTTCAGCGCCATTTCTCGCAATTTCGCATTCGTCGTCTATTTGTTGACGTTTTACGTGTCGAATTGTTGATATGTTGAATTGTACACTCCGATTGAGCGGCCGGATTCTTCCATATCGCAGCAATAATTGTTTGAGAAAGTGTTACGTGAAAAATAACAACAACAACAACAACCCCAATAGCCACCATCCAAATTGCTGCTACTATAGCTTCATCGGTATCGGCAATGGCAACAGTAATCTAAACGTAACCAATTTCGAGGACAAAAGGTAAACGAATTCAAATCCCAAACAACACCAGTCAATAGTCAAGCGAGCAAAAAAACCGAATCCAAACGCACGCCAAAACATTTACATCATCGATCGAACATGGAGCTGTGTGTATGTGTGAATATGTGAACATTGCTTGATTGAACAAGAAAAACAAAATAATAATGAAGCAAGCAAGCAAAAAACAGCACGAAATAAACACGCGAGTTGTGGATGCATGAAAAACAAGGCATTGGATAGAGTGAGATAGCACCAAAATACTGTACGCTACTCCGTGCATATGTCAAAATACAAGGCAAAACTGCAAGATCGGGTTAAAATGGAGAAATTAATATATGAATAGATTAAGAGGGAATCGCAAAAAAAACGTCCAACCGTATAAAGGCATTATGCATTTAATATGAACGACCGTCGACACAGAAAATTTCTAGTTTTTTTTCTTTATTTTATTTCGACTTTGTGTTGTTGTTGTTGTTGTTGTTGTTGTTACAGCTTCTGCGGCTCTACATCAGTATTCACTTGAATCGAGGAAATAAATTTGATGATTATAGAATCATATGACTTGCCCGTGCATGAAAATACATATACTATCGCTCTAAAGTTTGAGACTAGCATTTCTGCGGTTTTGGCAAACATGATTGGGATTTCTGTTTCGAAGTGAATTTTTGCATCTTGGTCATCGTTTTTTATCATTCGTTATCTCAGTTGAACACCAAAATGCCAAATTTTCGGATGAACGATTGCATTGTGGCTTCCAATGGATGTAATTCAATTATATTGAGCGAAAAAAAGTCTGTTTGAAAATGAAATCAAGCTCGATAAAAGTGCATACACCGAGCATAGTGCATGCTTTCATTTGAAGAAAAAAACCTTGTCCCGTTCTGGACTGTTTTGCATAGACTTGTAAGGCGCATATATATATGTCATTCATCGTAATTTGTTCAATTTTGCATGAAAAATGCCCGTTGATCACGAAATTTCTGCGCGGTACTGTATATATAACTGGTCTTGTATATTCAATGGTTTTAAAATGTATACAGCATTACATACGGGCGTGCGCATTTTTGTTGGGACAAGCAACACATATAAATTCAGCTCAATAAAAATCGATTGTCATTGATCGCTTATCATTTTCTTCGTATCTGTGTTGATATTTGTCGATATAATATACATAAGAACAATGTAAGATATTTTGCCTTACAAATTAGGTAATAATAAATATAAAATCCTGCGATGAATGCGTAAATGCACATCAATGCCAGCGTATTTACTTTACTGAGTGAACACATTGCGTTATATCGCTTTCTCAATCACATTTACTGCACGCAAAGCTAATTTCGTTCGATGTTATTCAATATGACAGCTTGAACTTGTTGTCATCAATGCCTTCTACGCGAATACACATTTTAAAAGATGTAGAGTTCAACGCGAAGTTTGCCAAATTCAGTTCAAAATAAACGTCTACATTCAGAGGCAATGCAGTTCATACAGCGCAGGAATAGATAGTGCCAGAAGTCATATGAATCCGAAACAATGCAACTTTGCCGCTCCCAAACCGCGATCCACTTCTGATAGAAACAATGTGTTCCCATTGCCACAGACGCTAATCAGTAAAACGCTAAATCAAATTTGATTTCGTCAAAAATGTGAAAATTCTTCATAGACATTTTCATGGAAATACTAATAATTTACCGATCGCCTTTATGCCAAAATTCTAAATATTCCATCAGTCATGAGTCCGTTTAACCATTTTTTGAGCATTTCTTGCCAAACTTGCATTTGATTTACTTCCTCTGTTTTTATTTTATTTGCATTTTTTTGACGGAATCTGTTTTTTTTTTCAATTTTCAGATCGCACAGTTCGTGGCCACCGAAAAACCATCTGGACAGTTCAATGTCAGCGCGTACATCAACAACAGCTGTTTTACCTGACGAAAGGAAACTTGAACAACACGAAAGATTGTATGCATCAAAACCGGAGCAAATGAATACGAATAGATTGGTTGGTGAAAAGTCACCATATCTCTTGCAACATGCCCACAATCCGGTCGATTGGTACCCGTGGGGAGATGAGGCCATTGAAAAAGCAAAAGCAGAAAATAAAGTGATCTTCTTGTCGGTCGGTTATTCGACCTGCCATTGGTAAGTTTGTATGATTCTATTTGTTGTTTTAGTATTTTGGCATGATTTCCACATGAAATAAACTTTTAATGGTTTCAATATGGTTGGTTTTAGGTGTCATGTTATGGAAAAAGAGTCATTTGAAAATCCAGAAGTGGCGGCTATTATGAACCGGCATTTTGTTAACATTAAAGTCGATCGTGAGGAGCGTCCCGATATTGACAAAATTTATATGCAATTTGTGTTAATGGTATCCGGTAGTGGTGGCTGGCCGATGTCTGTTTGGCTGACACCCGACTTGACACCAATCACTGCGGGTAAACAATTATTGATTGATTTTATTGGCAATGTTCTGTCATTATATCGATTTCTTCATACACACAGGCACATATTTTCCGCCGAAAGATCGATGGGGAATGTCTGGTTTTGTGACTGTCTTGGAGAAGATCGCCGAGATGTGGCGCGAAAAGGGCGATGAATTGGTGTTGCGCGGCCATAAGATCATTGATCTTATTGATAAAAGTGCAAAAGGTGGGGAAAGTTCTGAGCAACCATCACAAGAAGATTTTTACTCGAATACAGAACAACGTTTCAACGAAATTGTTAAAATCTATGATCAAAATATTGACAACGTATGGGGTGGTTTCGGTGGTCAAACTAAATTCCCAGAAGTTTCGAAATTGAACTTAGCATTTCATGCTCATGTGCACAAGCCAGAAAGTGATATGGCTAGACATGCATTGATGACTCTAAAAAACATTGCAAACGGTGGTATTCATGATCATGTTTACGGCGGATTTTGTCGATATTCAGTGGTAAATCGAGTTTGTGTGTTTCGATTCAAATAGATCTTCTTTTTTTTAAATAAATTTATATATAATTTCTATTGTTATAGGATCGACAATGGCATGTGCCACACTTTGAGAAAATGCTCTATGATCAAGGACAGCTTCTAACTGCTTATGTGAATGCTTATAAAATGACAAAGGATCCATTTTACCTTGATGTCGCGGATAAAATTTATGAATATTTAGTAACAGATCTGCGTCATCCCAATGGCGGATTTTTCAGCGGAGAAGATGCCGATTCGTATCGCCAACATGGCGATGAAGAGAAGGTCGAGGGCGCATTCTACGCATGGACTCAAGATGAAGTTCAAATGTTATTTAGTGAAAATTCGGAGCAATTTTCGGACGCAGCAAAAGCATTAGACATTTATTGCCATTTTTATGGAATAACAGATGAAGGTAATGTACAGCCATCAAGTGATCCACATGGTCACTTGCTTGGTCGTAATATACTTCGAGTTCGTACTTCAATTGAAGAGACCGCCAGGAAACATGGTGTCGACACCGAACTCGTCAAGGACACCTTACAAAAGGGCAATAAAATTTTGTATATTGAGCGTTGTAAACGCCCCAGGCCACATTTGGATACGAAAATTATCACAGCATGGAATGGCCTAGCTTTGTCTGGACTATCAGCTCTGGCAACCATTAAAGATGCCCCAAGACGCAAGGAATATATCGAAACGGCACAAGCATTGGTCAATTTTCTAAGGAAATATTCATTCAGAGAGAATGAGAAGACCTTGATTCGGTCATGTTACGGTGAAGGTGTAAAGGATGCCACACTATCACTTTTGTAAGTTTTCTTTATTTGCATATACAGTGAATAGTTTGTTTTCGGAAAATAGTTGAAGTTTTCTGCACGATTAAGATATGTGGGATAATCCCACTGGGACTCAAAATTTTCGAATGTTCACTGTACAATGGAAACGCCTAAAATTTCTTCAATCAATCAATTTTATGTGATTTACTCCACAGAGAACAACCGATCGAAGGTTTCTTGGATGATTATTCGTTTTTGATAAAAGGCTTAATAGATTTTTATGTGGCAACACTAGATATTGATGCATTGAAATGGGCGAAACAGTTGCAGGACACACAAGATCGTCTTTTCTGGGACTCTGAACAGGGTGGATACTTTTACTCGCAAGCAAACTCTGCTAATGTAATTGTTCGTCTAAAGGAAGATCACGATGGAGCGGAGCCATGCGGAAATAGTGTTGCTGCACGAAATCTTCCGCTTATTTCGGCTTATTTCCACGATAAGACCTATAAAGAACGTGCATGCAAATTGCTTTCATTCTTTTCATCGACCACTCCATTTGGATACGCGTTGCCCGAAATGTTTTCCGCTCAGATGATGCGAGCAGACAGCTTGGCCATGATGGTTGTTGTTGGTAAGTTGACGCTGTACTATATGCACAAAAATTGATTGCATTTTTGAACAACACACTATATACTGAATCGATTTGGCTTTATTTCATGCAGGGCCAAAAAGTGATGCTCTCGATAAATTGTGCGATACCGCACGCGATTTTTACATCCCGGGACTATTGCTAATGCACTACGATCCAGAGCAACCATCCGAAATGCTAACGCGTCCAGCAATTTCAAAATTTAAAATGGTACGAAATGAACCGCTCTAGAACGCGCGAATCTATGTGGTCATTGCTTTACTTTCTTAGTCTTAAAATATGCCTACTTTTCCATTTATCATTTGCTACTAGTTTCAAATAATTACCCACTATTAGTTCATTATATTGCTATTAATTTCATTTCTTTTTACAGGTACGAAATGAACCAACAGTTTATTTGTGCCACAATCGTGTTTGTCAATTGCCAATTACGACCGCTGACGATTTTAATCGGGTCCTCACCGAAAAATATGCGTCAGCAACACTGCGAGAATAATAATATATCATTTGAATGTATTAATGGCTGACAAGCATGCGCTTTCAATTTGACCTTGCATCCAGTGCGCTCCAGATGGAGATATTTTTCTATGAGTTCGAAACGAATTGTGATATTTGAAATGAATGAATGCTACGGATGCAGTGAAGAATGCAATATTTGACAACAAACATTTGTAAATGAATTGAATTTATCTTATTTCTTCGTTTCACACGATATAACCAATTCATTTATAGAATGGCCAAGGACAGACAATGACAGACAATTAGAAACATCTACTAGATCTTATATGATTATTTGGATTTATTGTTATTGATGATTATGATGATCATTATTATTATTATTATTATTATCATTATTATTATTACAAATCTAATGTCGTTGATTAACTTATCCGTAATTTGAAATTGTCGATTATGATAAGATTGAAATCCCATTTAAAAATACACACAAAAATAAATTGTTGATGTAAAATACAGTGATTTAGTGTTTGATCCGTTAGTAATTAATTAAAATCTGCATCCATGAATTTAGCTCACATCCCAGTCAATCACATATGACCGGGAAATATATGGCCGGTCACCATTGTGAAGTGAACGTAAAAGGTGAGTGGTTTGTTGCTGTTGTGGGCTGTGTTGACATACATCACAAACTCATTTATTTTCATCAAATATTCCAGATAATCGGTAAAAGTGATGCCTTTGAATTGTTTGAGTCTCCTTTTATTATGGAAAAATTCTCGTTTTGCGCCACATTGCGTGTATCAATAAGTCAAATGCCGCGAAATTATGAAACATAATGAGTGTGTAAATAATATCGAGATTTGCCTGCCCTATGGGAAGGAGGTAGAGATCGATAGTTTGTTGTTTTGGCACCCATACGATAATTTGCTCAATTTCTTTCTGGAAAGATGTATTGCAATAGGAAATTGGGATAAAATCAAAATTTGAAAAGTGAGGACACTTTTTATGTCCTCATATTTGGATTCGGTAGAAAATTTTCCATAATCGTTTAATTTTTTATTTTCGAAACACAATTTTTTCTAATATTTTGTCATATTATTCGTTACCTTTAATTCAACCGATCGCAAGAGCACGTCCGACTTACCCAATATCAATTGGAAACCACTTCAGATTGAATCCTTTTCATATTTGAAAAATTGATCTTCTTTTTGCTTCGCTTCCCCCAGTAATATCAATACTACGAATATTAATTAATTATTCGGTAATAATTTTATTAATCATATAAAATTGAATACATATATAACATAAAAATGTGAATACGATGAAATAGTACAGGCATTTGTTCTAATTATTTGTAATTATTTGTTTGTGTGCGAAATCAATCTCTTATTTAGTTACTACTAGAAAATTAATCCTAAATAAAATAGTCATTCTAAATTATAGTTGAATAATTTTATTTCATAGCAAAGAAAAATCACGAAATATACGATCGAAAGAAAATGTGCATATCCAGATAGTTTACCAATTGGATCGAGTCAGCGCAATTGAAATCATGTTAGAGTCACTAACATACTCTATCTAGAATTGTGTGCAGTAGGCGAATAAAGAGATGTTGGTGAATGCGTTAGAAACAATGAATTTTCAATATGTTAACTAACACACAATTTGCACACATTTCCTCGCATAACATAACAACTGTACATGTTCACCCGGGAAATGCTACAACTTCTTGTTTTGCTTGAACTCCGTTGACTTGTAAATTCAATGAGTTTTGAACCGACTGTAAAGAGGCATTTGCGAATGAATGATTTGATTGTTTGAATGTGAAAAATAGCAAAGTCGAGGCGAAGCCAGTTCATTGTGGACTGTAATTTGTACCTCTGTTTGAATTTTTTATGAATCGGTAACGATCGTTTTGCCCATCTCAACATTATTTCAACAATAAACCATTGAAATAAATGAAATGACAAAAAATCGAAGCACACACATCGAGATGAATTATTTAGTGTATAACCGATTCGATTGGGACGAAATAAAAAAAAATAAATTCATCAGTAAAGCGTCCCATTTTAACCAAAATTTGTCTTGAATTAAAAAAAAGTTTCGTTGAATTTCGAGACGGATTTTTGAGCATTCACGCATACATATTGCACTAAAAATTTTGTTTTCAGTGACTCAAAATATATATGGATTATAGCACAAAAATACGTTGAAAATTTTGTTGCAACCAGCTGCCCGATTAATCAATCTGGAAATCTGCTGTGTTGAGTGATCACAGAAATTTAAAACTTTTGTTTTATCTCTTGAATTATTTCCACAAGGCACTTACAGAACAAAGTGAAACATAAAAATTCATTTGGTTATATTTTTTGTTGTGTTTTGTTTGATTTGCTTGGGTTCAGTGTGTGATGCTTGTGTACACTGTACAGTTATTCAATGAGCAAACTGTGTTTGTTTTAAATGAATTCAGAAATTGGTCGATTATAGACAAGATACATTTTAAAAATGATTGAATTTCAAATCAACGTGTTTTTTGGCAGCGAGTTGTTGGTATTTTTGCAAACTTTCTATTTTTTTCTCTTCAAATGTCTAGTATCAATTTGATGTGACAACTACTTTGATCTGTACGTGCATCTAAATATATAGGTATATATATAGTATAAATACAGAAAGTATATAATCTACAACAATGAAATGTTGATAAAAGGCACAACAGAAAGTTGTCGAGAGAACATTACATGCTATAAACTTGCGTTAAATTTGATGAATGAACGTAGAAGTGTCATTTAGTTCCAGTGAATACGTTCAGCTAACATAATGCCATGTTCCTAGGTGTAAGCTCCAGAAAAAGCCGCAAATTATTTTCAATTTTAGAGCTGCTGCTAATTAGGAGCTAACCTTCAGGTACCGATACTATGTTAACTGAATGTATTCGGTTTAGTTCTTTAAAAACAATATTTAAAATGTTTATGCAGTACTCATCACACATTTGCGACCTTAAATATGAAGGAAAAAAAGAATCAACAATGGTTTTTGTCTTAATAAGTCAGCATTCACTATGCAATAAGGTCTCTTTGAGTGCGTTTAATTGCTCTTCACTTTGTTGGATGCGATCGGTGATTTCACGTAAATTCACGATCAATTTCGCTTTCGAATTGATGAAATAATCATAATCAGCATACTCTTTTGGCGTAAGATTTTTCTCCAAAATTTGTGCGATCAATTTGCCGCGCCGATCAATATCAATCTTGAGTCGTTTCGCTTCATCCAACTGTTCCAACAGACGAACTCGTTTTCCTTCAAGTGTTTTCTGTAAGTAAAAGAGAAGAAAAAAAATGTATGTTAGTCGAAACCCGCATATTTGCCTTTTGTTTGTCATATATTACCTTTTCAGTCGCATCTGACATATTAAATAAGCTATTTTCGATGCGCGCCAATCGGGCAGACAACGATAGCAATAGCATCGTAATATGGCCAACATCATCAACATGTGATCGAAATTTGCTTGCTTCGCTGGGCCGTACTTTTTGTGCCACAATGCTGGATATGTCTGTACCGAGCAAATCGTTTGTGGTATTTTGATCGGTAATTATTGTTCGGTCGTTCGTCAATGCCACTAATTGTTTCGTTAAACGAATCACGAGCTCTTCTTTTTGTTTGGTTAAATCGCACACATCACCATTGATCAGCTGCACATCGCGATTGAATCGACTTCCATTCACATGTCGCGAGAATATCGGATGGTTCGAGTCATTCATGGAGAAAGAGCTTCCATTCAACGGTGTGCTATAATTGAACGCAACAGCCAATGAATTGAAAACCAATTAGCAAATGGATCAAATTCAAAGAAATTGTGTTACACACACAATAAAAAATAAAACCAAACCAATCTAATGAATATGAACGTACTTTTCGGTTAGGTCCAGATGTTGCTCACGATGCATCGACGTACCCGCATCTTTTTTAGTACTTCGCGATGCCATTTTTGGATTATATAAACCAGTCACATAATCACTGGTCGATTTGTACACTTTTGGAGCTGCAAAAATAGAAGCAAAAATCAAACGTTTGACCCCATGGAGAAACAAAATTAATGGATACAACACCATATTCCACTTACCTAGAATGTTCCGCAGACGATCGTTTGGTAACAACTGCTCAACTAGTGATTCGGTGAGCTTTTTACAATCAAATTCGTCGGTCAACTTCGTTTGAATCACAATTTCTGTTTTTGTTCTCGGCTGCATTGTGCCACCGGCATCGATGCCATTTGTTGACATGCAACCATTGTTTTCGTCTGAAATACTTTCGTCTGTTTGAGATCCAACTTCTAATGTGGCCATTTCGTTGAGTTTTATTGCTGCCACATCATCAGCTAATTGACTGCTATCACCATCATTGTGCTTGTCGTCCTTTGCGTCTGATTTTATGACGATGGTGGGTTTTTGATTTGGTGACTCCTTGTAATTTTGATCGCCATTCAGTTCAACGGATGATATGGATTCCGATGATAATTGCGATACGCTCGATGAATCATCGGTACTGAGGCAATCGTTGAACGCATCTTCATCATTAATTTCGGCAATATTAGCGTGATGAATACGTTGCGATGACAATAGTTTGTTTTGCAATTGACTGATTTTTGCATCCTGATCGCGTGCCGAAAGCAACGAATCCATAATATCATTGCACCGTATCGTGTTACCTTTATCGTTGTGCGGTTGCAATGGTGGTTGCACCAAGCCATTTGTATTCATTGCATTGTGCTGGGATACCGTTAGATTTGTACCGGTAATTTGTGCGCGATGTTCATTTGTATGCGAAATCAATGGCTGCAGATTTGGTGTCGATGATTGCCGATGATTGGAGCAATCAAGTAGGTTCCCTAACGATTCGGTATTTGTAATTCGTGCGCAAACACTGTTATTGAATAGGTGATGGGCTCGTTTCAAATCGATCGTCGATTGCGAAATGTATTTGGTTGAATTCATCATGGCATTCATTTTGCCATTCGGGAAACTTCCGATATTGTTACCGTGATGATGATGACGATGGTGGTTCAGTTTCTCATTATTTATCACACTGTTTGATACATCGCCGTTGTTGCCATTGTTTAAGGTCGTATTAGAACCATAACGTGTCGTCGACACGCTTTTCATTTTGACGCCTAACGGTAGAACATCTGGTAAATTATTGATTTTTGTTGCATGCAGCTGATCATTAAAGTGTGGTAAATGTATGGAATCCTCATTGGAATTCAAGGTTAATTTGTAGCTGCCATGGTCCGGATCGGATGTGAGCTTTTCGTGGGATTGTCGCGGCAAATAGGACGCCTTAGAGTTGCTCCTGCAAAGAAGATAAACGAAAAATGGAAAGATTATAGAAAATGTCTTGAAAATGTTTTCATTTTAATTGTTTTTGTACGCGTGCACATTATGCTAAACCTATGTATATAGAATGGTGTGTCAGAGACTTTAGGCGGGCGCCACATGAAAGTGGTTCATAGTGACAGAATCTGAAATCGATTACTGTTTACATTTATTAAGAGCGACAGAGTCATGCGACCTTGTGTCTAATCCGCCCAAATAATAATTCGCTTGTTCTCTTAATTTCAGCACCTTGATTATATATTATTGATCAAAATCATCATTACATAGCATTTGTTCATTACTATACGACCGATCCGCGACAGTCAGATACACTTGTCGCCAACCGAATCGCTTGTCGCCAATAAATATTGTGATCAATTTTCCGCATTCGAAACGTTCGTTTTTTTTTCATCATTGCAATTTTATTTTGTGTGTACTTTAAAAAAAAGATAAATGCCAAAATACACACATGTGATTGGGCATGAATACTGATTTTTCGTTGTACATCGTTTCAGCAATGCGCGTTTAGTATTCTGCTAGTGTCTTCGTTATTTTCGTTATTTTACCAACGTGATTTTCTCTTTTCTTTTCTCCTTTCATCGAAGTGAATACCTGAATCAACGGAAATGCGATGGATAAAATAAAAACAAAAATATTACTGCGAATCACAGATTTGTTTCATTTGGATACATTTCAAAACGAAGTATAAAAAGACGAAAAATAAAAACCATGTGCAAAACAATCCGCTTTAATGGAAACAATTTGATTACAAAATCCAATTTATAAAAATATATGAATCGAGAGAAGTCAGAAAACACGTTTTTAATTGAAATCGGACACAATAGAAATATAACCAGTGAATTGTGAGTGAACTAACAAATGTGCGACGAACGAAAAAAAAAACCAGTCAGAAGTTCAACACACATTTCATTTGTATTGCATTCAATGCGCATCTCTTGCGCGCTTTTGTCGATTTACAGTATACATTTAGTATTCTAGTGGTAATAGCCGCATTCGAAATGAATTACTTGACCCAATAAATTAAACATCAAATATGGGTAATTTACGGGGAAAAAGCAACAACATGATCACATAAACAATGGTACGGTTAAGAAAAAGAGAAAAGAGAGAAGAAGAAAGAAATAAAATGATTGAAATGAATTCGCTGCTGATTTTGAACAAATTTCGCATTTAACATGGAATTGCAAATGAGCTATTGTTTTGCTCTAACAACAACAAACAAATGCAATAAAAAGATAAAAGGTTCATCAAAAAGAAACGACGAAAAAGGTACATCAAAACTGTTCTATCAAAGAGCCTACAGGTTAAAAAAACATGTTATCAAACTGATACCATCATACACGAGAAACAAAAACGAAATTGCATACACACACACACACACACACACACACACACACACACACAGAGAGAGAGAGAGAGAGAGAGAGAGAGAGAGAGAGAGAGAGAGAGAGAGAGAGAGAGAGAGAGAGAGAGAGAGAGAGAGAGAGAGAGAGAGATACATATACATACACATGCAATCGTGAATCGTGTAAAAAGGAAGTGTGGCATACGTTGGGCCGTCGGTGAACAGTCATTTATAAAGCGACGCTGCACTTCTGGCTCAAGACACACGGTGAAAACATTGTTCTGTTTATGCATTGACAGAAATGACCTATAGAATTGAGTACGTTGTGCGCACTGAACGGGCTATGTTCCGATTAAGATCACAACAACCGTGTGCACCACAATGTTGCGCAAAATAATATATAATGCTATTGAAACCAAACACACAGCCGCCGCCACCACTCTGTTATCTTCAGTAAAATTGCCGTGATATTTGGTCTGAGACGAAATCTATTGATATTTTATATCGATCAAAGTACGAATCTATGTTCACGTATTCATTGTTTTCAAGGCGACTGTAACGAGCCCCGAATACAGTTGATATTTACCAAGCCTTAATTTTGTCATGATTCGATGCCTAATGCAGGAAAAATGTGTGCTGATTTGTTGTTATGTGTTCAGTTAATGATCTCGCACAAAGATGCTCGTTCAAGAAAAAAAAACTTTCAATTTCCATAGTCTTCGGTCAATCGGATATGAAAAATCGGCGCAACTTCTTTTAATTGCTCCATTTGTAATTTGGAACTCGGTGATTGGATTAAAGCTTTGGATATTTGCTGAATAAAGTCGCTTCAACAATAAATTCGATTTATGTTTATTATTATAGTAAAACAGAAAAAAAATTGACCTATGATTATAGTAGCGCATTTGATATCTGCACAGAACCGAAATGAGAAATTTGCTTTCATTTTCTATGTGATGCACCAATGTTTCAATTTTCGACATTGGCAAATGAAAGTCAACATATTTATGCATTTGCATTTTACGATAGACGATAGTAAATAATGTTATGAATAAAAATTGAGATCGAAACCGAAACAGCAACGGCAAATGCAGGCTTATTTTTATTTTGGGGCGCAAAACTATCATTATTAAATGGCATTTTGTTTTTATTATGCGCACATTTGTTTATTTATCATTTTGCCAACTTTGAATAATGTTCGGTTTCAGTGACGTGTGCTAACAACTGTTAGCATTTAACTTCTAGTTGTGTTTCATGTTTTCGTAATTCGTTTCCTTTTTTATTCGCTTTGCTTTTTTCCTCTGTAAATTTCGAACTACACTTTGGCATTTTCGAGAGCCGATTAAAACTAAATTTCAATCGCAGACACGCAAATGAAATGGGTAAATGGCATGATACTGTCATTTTCGACCAAATCCGAGATAACTCGCAACGTATAGTCGCAAAACGCTGAGCCAAAACTGACGAGAAAAATAAGGAAGAAAAAAATGCAACGCAAACCAAAAAGGCAACAATCATACAAGCGAAATATACTTTGGCAGCGCTTGTGATCATTTACTCTTTTGCTATTTCAATGCTTGTGCTCTCATATTATTTTAGGGGTTGTGTCAATCGATTTTTGTGGTTTGTATATATTCGATTTGATTCGAATCGCCTACAATTCAAACTTAAGCATCGAAACTATAAACATATTCCAATCACAGTAAACACAACGATTCTATCAATGTTGAGATTTGACACTTGAATTTGTTTTAGTACCATTTGCTCTAGAAAAAGTTCAAAAGTTCTGAAATAAATACATGAAGCTTTGATTTGTGATTCAGTACATTTTGAACTTTTTCTAGTACAAATGGTACTTAAATGGATTTTAGTGCCAAATTTCATATTGCGGTTCTAAAAGTTAGAAACAACGTGTTTACTGTGATAACTTAGTGTAGCAACCAGCTGACGCGAAAAAAAATAACATATATCGGCACACATCCTCTATTTTTCAATTGTTTCTAAATGCTGGCAAATGAAAAATTACCGCCGCACAATGATGATTGATGTTTGATTTGACTGCAAGATGTTCAGAAGAACAGCCTCAGTTTTATCTATACGATTCTATTGAATGCGATCACCATCGCACAATTTTGCTTGGAGTTCATGACTCTAGATGCTGATTCAACCATTTTAAGATATCTTAAGTTGTTTCTCTTAATTTTGCGATGGCGTATTAACAAGAAACACAAATCTCACATTACTCACGCAGGAGTGTATTATTTACACAGAATTTGAACTTGAATCTCGAAAGTTCATCGAACAATTATATGATTTTGAATGGGTAAACTGTATTAGCACAGTACAAAATCTTTTGAAATACATTTCGTAAACACCACTCATTGGTGTTCCCATTTGTTGATCACTCTGCATATGGACTGCGCATTGATTTCTCGTGCTACATCAGTAAAAAGCGTTAAAGTTCATACATCATGTATAGTTATTGCCATTTACATTGATGTCCGAATGCGCATTGTTTAAAATCAGTTTGATTTTGCTCTCCTGGTTGTATATTCATTCGGGCGCAGAACATTAATGCCATTTCTTACCGAAAAATAAAACGCGCAATAAAATACATTACCAATAGAAAACAGCAACAAAACCAAACCAAACCAAAAATTGTGCATGGCTAATGCGAATATTTATATTGTACAGATTACATTTGACATTTTAATTTTGTACATTGACCGTTTACGTGTCAGTTTGTGGATGAAAGAGTGAAGAGTGACTAAATGACTAAATTTGTGTGTTGCAAAAACGTAACGAAACGAAAATCGGCAATAATATTTATGGGTGAGTTATAAAATGAATATTCTATGATTTATTTGTTAAATGTTTTCTTCCAAGTTTGGATACTGTTCATTAGACATATGCATGATTTGCATTCAATTAAAGCAAGCCCACTATAACAATAACAACAACAATTATATTTGAACCTCAATTATCTTACCCGACTAAATAACATAATATAATTTTACAACGATTCAATTGCATTTTGCACTCATGGCGATCAGATGATATTTATATGTGGAAACAGAAATGTAACATTTGAAAACAATGAAAGTACGGCACCGTACTTTTAATTACGTCCATACACACAAAGAGTGAATGCAATAAGTGTGTGTGCGTCTGACTACGACACGGTGAAGTCATTCATCATTTCAGACTTGAAAAAACAAATCATCCACCGAAGTCGTTACAAATGTTGAAGAGAGCAAGATTCAATTCGCGTGTCTCTCACTTGATTAGTTGACCTTTGATTGAAATAATTCCAGTGAGAGAATACTAGAACACTTTTAGTGTGTGTTTCTCGATGATTTTGGGGGGATTTATTTAATAACCCGAAAATACCGACTTTAATCTTTAGTTAATGTATGCTAGAAATGGCTGAAGTGCTATCAAAAACATCTCTAGTGATTATAATGAAGCTAGAAGAAATCTGAATGAAATATATCGAAATATTTCTACACAAATGATAACATCGCTAGACGATCGCATAAAACGCTTCTCATTTCTTAAACTTTGCCCGGATATACGTTGTTAAAATTTGGATGGATATACTAGGCGGATTG